TGATTAAAATAGTAATAGTAATGATAATAAAGATAATATTTATAATAATAATAATAATAATGAATAATAATATTAATAACATGTTATTTTAACAATAGTAATAATAATATAGTAATTAAAATAAACTAAATCAATCAGTATAATATTCCATACAACAATCCAAAGTTAGTTACAAAAAGTAATTAACTGACAAAAAGTAACAACTAACGATGACATAAAAACAACCACTGCTAAAATAAATTATAAAGATTTAGAAAATTTATTTTTCTTATAATATAATAACCGAAATATATTGCAAATAATATTACATATAAACAGAAAAACATTGAGAGAATCAAAACAAAACAAAATTACAACAAACATTACAAGCAAAACAAAAAATTACGTTAAGTTCTTTTAGGATCAATAACAACATCAACAACAACAAGAAAAGAACAACATAAAATAAAAATAATAAATAAAGAAAAAACAAAAAAAAGTAATAATAATACACGAAAGAATAAAACATTTATTATAAATGCTTAAAACGAAAATAAAAACAAAAAAAATATAACACTATAAAAAATTAGATATCACTATTTAAAAATAATTAAATAACTAAAAAATAAAACAATAAATGACTAACAAAAAATAATAAGTAAATTTTTATACGCTAAAAAAAAAATCATTACTACAAAACCGCTTAAATAAAAAATAATCGTAAATAAAGAATCCTAAAAAATTTTTGAAATAAAACTAAAGAAATATATATAAAAAATAAAAAAATCTTCATTTGCCGATCTTTTTTCGATGTATAAATTGTTTTTTTTTTCTTTCCATTTTTTTTATTTATTTCGTTCATTAACTTTTTTTTTTAACTTACTTCATTACTTATTTTCTTTTAAATGTTTCTTTAATTGTTTTAAAAAATTTACTTATTCTTCTTTTTAGTTGATTTTATTATTCATTTAATTTATAAATGTTTTCTTTTCCTTTTTTTCTTTTTTCCTCTCTAAAAAAGTTGTTTTGCATAAAGCGTGAAACTCCGACTTTAATTCCCAACCCCCTTTTTATTAATCACAATCTTGGTTGCTGGAAATGGAAATCTATTTTATGCACATAAAGGTGTAAAAATCTTGTTTTAATTTGCAAATATAGAACTCCTGAGTTTAATGAGTGATCTTGAGTGAATTGAGTTGCTGAATAAGTTTGAGGAAACAAATTTTCATTAAATTTAACTAAAATACAAAGCCAATGGGCACGGGACCTAAAAAAGACGTCTTTTGAACGTTCAAAAGATGGTCCAACTTGTTCAAAACGTTTAAATACGTATAAAAAAAATTCTTTTTTACGTTCCGTGCCCACTGGGAATTAGTGTGGTTACAATGCTATAGGTAAAAAAAAAATTTCCGAAAATTACACAGGAAAAAATAACATTTATGAAGTTTTACCTCAAAATAGGGCAATGCTAACCCGTGCCTCATTGAGGATGAAATCTGGAAAAATCAGGGAACTGGGGGAAAATTCGTAATTTTTTACTGTAAAATGAAAACGAATCAACCCATAAATATGATATATATCTTATTTTGACCACTAGGTTATTCCCTTTAAATTTCATTATCTTCACTTTTTAGCTACAGCCAATAGTTTTTGAAATATTTTTACATACGCAGATTAGAAAAAGAAATCTCCCTGTCACGCAAAAAATGCACAAGAACTTAAATACTGTCGTAAAAATACCTTTAAAATAAAACCTTTGTAAATTATTGTTTGAAAGATAATTTAACAGATTTAATGTAAGCAATCTGCTTGCTTAAAATTAATTTATATATATATAACTAATTTATAATATTAACGAGTTAAAAATAGAGCTAAATAAGGCCTTCAACCAATAAAGAGTAATAACAGTTAATTAATATTAAATCAATTCTGACTAATTTTTTGACTAATATTATACATCTGACTAATATTAAATGCATCGATTTAAAGCTTAATGATGCGGCTATTGAAATAAACTGCTAAAAAAACACATTTCGTTTTTATTTTCATATAACATTTATTCAAACGTTACGGGGGCGGTTATGCCCCCACTTCCCCTAAAGCTTCTGTTTTATTTTTGATGATTTTTTAAATTAGATGTTATAATAATATTGCTATCTCTTAGTAATATTATTAAAACTGCTTTATTTTTTTTTATGTTTTTTTCTAATCTTTTTTAGGTGTCCCAAGAAGTCCTTACGGTCTTATTACAGGGCATCGCAGAAGAGCATTCTGCGGTGCTCTGTAACAGAACCGTAAAGAATTATTACAGAGCACCGCATTCTTCTTCCTAACCGATGTCTCAAAATTTGCCCAGAGGTTTTTTTCAAACCACTGCTTAGAATTTGTAGCCATAGTAGCAATGTGACTCTATATAATGCAGCAAACCACTTTTAATGCACTGAAACGTGCAATAAAAGTGTTTATTGCACGTTCCAGTGCACTTTTATTGCATAGAACGTGCAATAAAAGTGGTACAAGAACTGTATTCAATCTGCAGAAAAAAAGACGAATTGCAGTCTAGAATTATTTTAAGTAATAGACAATGATATACTGAAGTATTCTAATTTAATTCAAAAACTCATAAAAATTAAATAAAAAAATACGAAATCTAATTTCTAACATTTCAAAACAAAACTTTTCTAACATCTTTTCTAACAAAAAAAACAGAACTTTTTAATAAAAAACAAACTTTTCTAACAAAGTTTTTTTAACAAAACTTTTCAAACTTTTCTAACAACTTTTTTTCAAAACAAAACTTTTCTAACATTTTTTCTAACAAAAAACAAAACTTTTTTAACAAAACTTTTCTTTCAAAACTTTTCTAACAAAAAAACTTTTCTAACATCTTTTTCTCAAAACGAAACTTTTCTAACATCTTAAACAACTTTTCTATCATCTCAAAGCAAAACTATTCAAGTTTATACATGAACGCATTCAAATGTGACGATTGTAATTGTTGTTATTTGTAATTACATAACTTTGATAAATAATAAAAGTATGCGGTTGTGCCTCCTGTGCGTCTATGCGGTTCTGCCCCAGTGGACAGTTTTTAGAAAGAATTCAGTTTCATAGCTTGCTTATTAGGTTATGTTGATATCAAAAATGGTTTTTACTTGATGAAATAACGCTGATAACACATATCTTTAATACTAAAATCAAATATTGCTTTATCCTCAAAAAAAAAAGACTTTAAAAATATGATGTAAATATAATATTTTTATCAAAACATACATTATTATTCACAACTTCTCAGAAACATAGCAGGCACTCTTTTTGACATAAGAAAAATGAAGAAAACTGTTTTACTAATGTGTGGTAGTTTTTTTGCCAGATTAGATAATATTTTTCAAAGAGAAATGTTAAAAAACGGTTGTGCCTCCATATGCGGTTATGCCCCTACTTCCCCTATATAAAATATCTTAAAATATAATCATCTGCGAATGAAAAAGTATATTTTTTTTATTTTTTTTTTAATTTTTTTTTAAGTTTATTTTTTGTTCCTTAATATTACAAATTCGTAACCACATAATAAAGATTCGTTAACAGTGAATATATAAATAAAAACAAAATATTACAAAGTGGTTTTACAAAAATACTAAACTCACTCTAACACTGTAAAAAGAACGCGGAAAACCTGCAGAAGACCAAATGGTCTTATCATCAATAACGGCTTTACATTGCCGTAAATATAAAAACATATTCATAAAATTTTTACATAAAATTATTAAATTATAATGGTATTAAAATGTCAGATAACAAGTATACAAATATATTTTTACAAAAATCGTTTTTTTTTTATTATTATTATTATTTTTTTTGAAATAATATTTACACATTTATTACTACCCAGACAGCAAGCTTACATTGGCCCAATGAAAGTTTTAACATTGGCAAGTTTATTCCGTTGGGCCAACATTTAGCCAGTGTTTTTTTTTGGCGTATTATTTTCAATTTTGCAAGTCGGTTTTTTGCAAATATCGTACAATATTGGGCCAACATTTAGCCAATGTTTTTTTTTTTGCAATTCTACAAATCGGTTTTTTGCAATTATCGTTCTACGTTGGGCCAATATTTGGCCTAGTAGTTTAGGCTTAATATTTTACTATAAAAATCTTATACCGTAGCCAATGTAGTTGCGGATTAGTATATACTTTAGAAACATTTTTAAAAATGTTTGACAGAATAAAAAAAGGTTTTGTTTTCATTTTTTTTTTAATTATAAAAAGAAGAAGCTATATTTATTAATCTTCTAAGAATCTTAAAAGCTTCCTTATAAGAAATAAACTTCAAGAGATTCTCTTGACTTGATGTTTTGTTTTTTTAAATAATAAAATATTTGTTAACATTTAAATAATATGCTTAAAACATTTTTTACTACAATCTAAATTATTAATGTAATAATAAAGGCAATAATTAAATTATTTTTGTGTAAGATCTTAAATTTATTATTTTATTTTTATTACACTATTGGCATTTCAAATGTTTGACTTATTTAATTATTAAAGATTATTAAATTATTATTTTAAATAATTATTAAAGATTATTAAATTTTAATATTCTTTATTAAATAAATGAAACATTTCAAATGTTCGATTTATTTAATAAAGAAGACATTTTAAATGTCTTCTTTATTAAATAAATCAAACATTTAAAATGTCATACAGTATAAGTTTTTTTTTTCATAATTTATTTATAATAGTTTAGATTATATAGCTATTATAAGATATATTATTAAAGGTATCAATGATATATATGTGGCATTGTCGATGCCATTGTCAATGCCAATGTCAACTTCAATGCCATTGAAGTTGTTAAAAGCTGATATTTTACATTTTAAATATGTCTCTTTTGTTTGATTTTTTTCTGTGTTTGATTATGAAACCCCATACAAAAAGTGATGTTACTAGAACTTATAGTCTACGTATGTAGAGCTTTCTAATATTCCATGTTTCTGAAGTTTAATTATTTTTTAATTTAACAATTTTGGCTATTTTTCATATTTAGTTTGCGTACAGTAATTAACAACTTTAAGCTTATACATTAACTTTAGTTATAGCTTAGTTATTAATGATTTGGTTTATAGATTTTTAAAGCAATACAAGATTGAATTTAGCAGAAGGCTAAATTTCTGCTCTGGAGACAAAAAAGAAAAACAGCGAAAATGACCAGTCAAAATAAAGATTAAAGAGACAAAAAATTGCGTAAATCTTGGTGTAGATGATTTATCTTCATTTTGTTATAATAAAACAAAAAATGTTATTAAACTTTGGGATTTGCCTGTAACTCCAAACTTTTTACAGAAGTTCAATGTTTGCTCTGAGAAGTTGAATGAACAAATTTATTAAATGGTAAGTTTTTATATAAAAGTCTTTATGTCTGATGATTGAAAATCTTTATTCATAGCTTTAGCTTTTACAACTTTAAAAACTTTTTCATATATTACGGTCAAAAAGTCATAGTGTTAATTAACATTTTATTGTGTAATAATCAACATATCAAAGCTTGGTCGGGAAGCGAGAGCAATCCCTCTCTAATACTGACCACAGAAAAACTGGCCAGGTTTTCTAGTCGATTTAACGTAACAAAAATTTTTTGTTGGATTTCAAAGTTGGTGTCACCAACTTTGAAATCTATTTGAATTCAACTGTTGAAAAAAACAACAGAGTATTCATATCAGTTTAAAGTTTTAACAGTTGCTGGTGGTTCATTATTATTCATTATATAAACGTTTATTTAAATTTATATAATAGACGAAGGTAATACAATATTTTTATAGATGATATTATTTTTAAAAACTGTATTATTAAAATTCAGAATTAAAATATGTAAAAAAAATTATTTACAAACATTGGACAACTTTATATTTCAAATAACCACACTTTTTATGAAAGTGAGGTTATTTGAAAAGAATATTTTTTTTAAAAAAAAGATAAAATTATAAGATAAAATATCTAAGATATATAAAAAATATAAGATAAAATATAATAAGATTTTTTTTTGGATAAAAGAAACAATTTTTAGATAAAATAAAAATAAAGTTTTTTACAGGAGAAATGTTTTTCATTCTCTTGTAAAATTTTAATTTTGTGACTTGTCACATTTTCAAAATACAGCACTCAATTAAGCTATTATGTTTTTTTTGGTGCTATCCATTTAATTTTTCTGAAACTTATGTTTTTCTTAGTGTTCGTTCTTAGTCATCCTTAATAATAAGATCCATACTAACATGTATAATAAGCTCCATACTAATATGCAACTTAACTAATAGCTAAGTTTTAAAAGTTTTGTCATTGAAAGCATGTACAATCTTAACATTTCCATTACAGTAGATAGTAATTTTAAATATTTTGTAAAAATGGTTGTTAAAAATGGTCAGGGAAATTCATCTGATTTTTCAAAAAAGTCATTGATTTTTATATACACAAAACAATTCTCGTTAATGTGTAAGCTTAAACATCAACGAAAATTGTTTTGTGTCAGTGCCAGAAGTTAAATGCACACCTGCAAATTTCATAATTCATAAAAATATTATGAATCCATTAGCAAGTATATATTTTTATCATTAAAAATTTGACTCTCTTTCTTTAATTTTATCTGTTTTATTAGTGATTGTTGTATTTACTTTCATAAATTCTAAATATAATATGTAATTAGTTGTATAGTTTCTTAATAATATAATTAACTTTAATGTTCAAGATAAAGTTGTATCCTTGAAAGATATGCTGGTATTATTGGCACAATGGGCAAGCATTGAAGTGCAACTTGGTGAAATACAAAACACATAAAATTCAGTTATAAAAATTTGAGTAACAAAGGTAATATTTTTTTATGATCTGTTTAGGCATTTTGTATGATATCTTAGTATAACATTTTATATTAATTTAAGTCTAAACAAAAGTTACTTTATTATTGCCAGGTTGTGTATTTTTGCAGGTCAATTGTTTGGCACAATTTGGAGTTAAAGACAAAGGAGATTGTATATGTTATTTACTAAGAATTGTTTTTTAAAATGGCATAGCTGTAAAATTAAACTATACAGGGAGAGGACAAAAAATTGGAATAGGAAAAATGTTGATTGCATATGTTGCTATTGGTAAGTGGTTTAAAAAAGTTTATTTTTTCAGTCTCAATTTTGCATTACAGAAATAATTTCAATTTGTTATGTTTCTTTGGTGCATAATTAAACAAACAACTATTTTTTTTGTAGAAACTGTGAAGTCAAATAAGCATGGCTTATGCAGACATGTGATAGAGATAGTGGAAGAAAAAATAATAATAGTGGGCACCAAATATCATAAGCTAAACACGATTCAATAACAAGTAGCTCAGCCAATATCGAAACTACTCTATAAATTTTATAGTGAATTTTTTTATTTGAAACTCAATGTGTCAGTTTTTGGTTTAAGTTTGGTGTTTGCAATGTGTATATTTAACCGAGAAATTATGTTAAATTAATAAATTTTTATACTTGTATCATACATTCTTTTTTTTCTCTATTAATTTTTAATGTAGCGATGCAAATCATCTTATTTGTAACAACGATCTAATGTTGCATAAAACGTTAGGCCGATATACGATATTAGGCCAATGTTGTATACAACCTTAGGCCAATTTTGTATACAACGTTGGGCCAATGTTGTATACAACGTTGGGCCAATGTTGTATACAACATTGGCCTAACGTTATATACAACGTTGGGCCAATGTTGGGTAAACGTTGTATACAACATTGGGCCAATGTTGTACACAACGTTGGGCCAATACCTAACCAATGATCAAACCTGCATTGAGCCAACATCAATTTTCAACGTTGGGCCAATGCATCATCATGCATTAACCCAACGTTGGTCCAATGTAAGCTTGCTGTCTGGGTAATGCAATGTTGAAAATATATTTATATTAAATAAAAAAGAAAATATTTATAAATAAATTTAAAAAAAATCACTAACTAAATTTTTATACTTAAAAATACTCTTTTTAATAGTTTTTTTAAAGCAATTTAAGTTTTTTAAATCAATATTATTTAAATTAATCAGTAAAAACTTATTCCAGATATGAGGTGCACGGTAAGTCATTTTGAAATGTTCAAGCTTATTTTTGCATGAAGGGTCTAACAGGGTACTATTTGTACGCAATAAATATTTGTACTCTGGTTTTTGTTTACAAAGACTATAGAAAATTGAAGGACTTTTTTGCATTTTGCTATTATACATAAGACTTAGAACATTATATACATTTAGTTCAAACAATGTTAATAAAGACATTTGTTCAAAAAGAAGTTTTGAGTGTTCTGTTTTATTTTTAAAATTAAACACACATATAGCATGCTTCTGTTTACGATAAAGTGGTTCTAGTTTCGTTTTATAGGTACTACCCCATGCTATATTTCCGTAGTTTAGGTAACTTTTAACAAAACTATTGTAGATTTGTTTGAGTAGTGGTTTTTTAATTAAATAACGTGACTGGTATATTATTCCTATGCTTTTGGATATTTTACTACCTATATAAGCGATATGTTTATTCCAATTTAGATTTTCGTCAATAAAAACACCCAAAAACTTCGTAACAGTATAACTACCTATTTCTCTATTTTCAATAAACAATTTCGGAAAAAAAGATTGAACTTCTTTTTTTTTAAAAGAAGGATGAAATAAAGAAAACTTTGTTTTACTTGAGTTAATAGAGAGTTTGTTTGCCCTAAACCACTCTGAAATCTTTTCTAATTCATTGTTCATTTCTACGCACAGCTCGCTATTATATTTTCCAGAGATAAAAAAGTTGCTATCGTCAGCAAATATTATAGTTGAAATTCTTTTTGAAGCCATGCAGAGATCGTTTACATAGAAAAGCAAGGGCCCAAGTATTATATAACCAAGTATTATATAACCTTGAGGTACACCACACTCTATAATAGACGGATTAGAGAGTTTATTGTCTCCGTAATATACATATTGTACACGTTTATCTAAATAGCTTTCTATCCACTTGTTGGATCTACCCCTTATACCGTACATATTAAGCTTTGATAATAATATTTTGTGGTCGACTGTATCAAAAGCCTTTGAGAGATCTACAAAAACCCCCAAAGTATCTTCTCCGTTTGTAAAGGAGTTTTTTATTTCTTCAACCAAGTGAAGGATTGCGTGTTCAGTTGATGTATTTTTTTGAAAGCCGAACTGCTTGGAATAAATAAGATTGTTTTCTTTAAAAAAAGTATATAACCTATTGTGCATAATTCTCTCAAGTATCTTAGAGAATGTTGAAAGTATTGATATTGGTCTAAAATTACCTATTTCACTTGCATCTCCTAATTTAAATATAGGTTTTACTTTAGCAGTCAGGAAATATACCTTCCTTTAAAGAGTGTTTAAAAATTTTGAATAAAGGATTTTTAAGCTCATTGTAACAGTTAATTACTATGTTGCTATTGACATCGTCAATTCCAGTAGCCTTGTTTCTTTTAAGGCTTTATAGAGCCTCTTCAACTTCTAACATGGTTAGTTTTTCGTTATTTAGTTTATTTCTATTACGAATTAAATATTTATCAAAAGATTTATTTACACGAGGAATTTGAGATGCAAGTTTAGATCCTATATTAACAAAGAAGTTGTTAAACTCATTTGCAATGTCATTTTCATTATCAATTGATTTGTTATTGATTTTTTCTTTAAGTTTAATTGTTTTTGTTATCTTGGGAAAATGTTTTTTATAAAAAAATAAAAAGATATTGATAAACTTGTTATACATTAAATTGGTGTCATTAGAAAATTCTAAATCTGAACAGTCAATATTCGCTAACTCTCTTTTAAAGTAGACCTGGCTGTCCAAAGAAAAATGCCGCCTTGTGATTGTCATTTTTTGACTTATTTTTATTTTGTTTGAGGTCTTTATTGAAATAAATATCGGAAAATGGTCCGATATTGGTGTTTTAATTACTCCTTTTTTTAGCGAGATTTCAAATAAAGAATTTGTTAGTATATTATCGATTAATGTTAATGAACTTCTTGTAATTCGAGTTGGCCTATTTATAAAATGAATTACACCAAATCGGAAAATATCATTGTAAAAGTTTTGTGTTTCTTTATTTTTGTCATAGTTTAGAGCGTTAAGATTAAAATCTCTTTTTAAAATTTATTTTGAAGATGGTTTGAAAATATTTCTGTTGAAGACTGTGGCGGTTTATAACAGCATGATATTATGGTATTTTTAAAGCCATTATTAATGATTTCAATAGAAACAAATTCCCTGTCGTAATCAGATATGCATAGATCGTTTCGTAATTTATGCCGCAAACTATTTTTAATGTAAATTACAACACCCCCGCCTCTATTTTTTGATTTTCTTTGCAAATGCACTCCATCATAATTATTTAATTGAAAACGCACGCTTTCGTTAAATTCGTCATCAGTTAACCATGTTTCGCTTAAACAAATAATATTAAAAATGAAATTGCTTCCTTCGAAGAATATTTTAAAGTTTTCAAAATTTGCTTTAGCACTTCTTATATTAAGATGAATAAGAGACAGACCCTCATATAAAGAATACAAATACCTATTTGAAAAAGTTCGTAAAAACTTGAAAAAAATTACTACCCAAGACTCATAGATAAATTTAAAAATTACTCAAAACGCACTTCGCAAGTTATGAATAAAATCTCTGTCTCCACATTTTCAAAAATACTAGAACGTATAATGTACAATAGATTATACAATTATCTTCATTCTAATAATTTTTTATACAACTATCAATTTGGCTTTAAAAGAAATAATTCCACAGAACATGCAGTTATTCAATTTGTACGTGAAATCTCTAATTCTTTTGAAAAGTCTAAATATACATTAGGTGTTTTCATCGACCTTTCGAAAGCATTCGATACTGTCGACCATGAAATTTTACTACAAAAGCTAAAATATTATAGAATAAATTGCAAAGTTATAAAATGGTTCAAAAGTTATCTATCCAACCGTAAGCAATTTGTTTTTCAGTAATAATGATCATTCAAATAAGTTTCTAAACATTTCATGTGGCGTTCCACAAGGTTCCATTTTGGGACCACTATTGTTTTTAATTTATGTAAACGATCTAAATAAAGCCTCAAATTTAATGAGTATCATGTTTGCTGATGACACTAACTTATTATTTTCCGATAATAACATTTGCAAACTCTTCTATACTATGAATGTTGAACTTAAAAATATATCCAAATGGTTTAAATACTACAAACTAACTCTCAACATTAAAAAAAAAAAATTGGGTTCTTTTCCACCCAGTCTCTAAAAAAACTCATTAACCCTGAAGTTTGCCTGAAATTTTTATTGATAATGTTGAAGTAAAAAGACATAGTGTGACAAAGTTTTTAGGTATTTTTCTTGATGAAAACATAATATGGAAAACGCATATCGACTATATTGGTACAGAAATTTTTAAAAATATTGGAATTCTATATAAAACCAGAACATATTTATGTAAAAAAAGCCTGACTCAACTTTATTACTCATTAATTCATAGTTATTTAAATTATGCTACTGTTGCATGGGGAAGCACTGAAAAATTTTGCGGATCGATACACTCATTCCAAACCTCTTTTTATCGAAATGAAAGTTCTCAATATTTATGAGCTTTATGTTTTTAATGTTTTGTGCTTTATTTATATGTGGAAAAATGACATATCTTTACCCGTTTTCAAAGATCTCTTTTGTTTGAATATATATGTGTATATATATATATATATATATATATATATATATATATATATATATATATATATATATATATATATATATATATATATATATATATATATATATATATATATATATATATATATATATATATATATAAGTGTACGTGCGTGTAATTATTGAAACCATTCCACAAAATGAAAACCTGGTAGTGCATTATTATTAAGTTTAATTCGTTGATTTAATTAACAAATGATTTATATATTTACAATTTAACATAATTACTTTCTTAATTTCACAAGTTATTTATATTTCTATTTTGTATTCAATCTTAAATTTTTTTTTTCTAAATTATAAACTAAACGGTATATCTACAATGCAATACTGATATGGCACATGTGGGTTTTGTGGAAAATAATTCTGCAGTCCAGAAAACTTCATCAACATGTATCAGCAATTTACTTACCGTCAATATCAGCGGCCAAAGATTTCAACTAATTCGAAATATTCTTTATATTCATAGAAGTACAAGGCTTGGCAGATTAGTGACTCAACCGTTTGTTGAAGATAATTTATTTGACTATTATGATGAATTGCTTGATGAATATTTTTTTCAAAGAGATCCAACTTGTTTCCCGATGATACTTGCTTATTACACCAGTGGTCAATTGCATTTGTCATGTTTTTTGTGTCTAGAGTTTCTTCAAAATGAAATGCTTTATTGGGGCATTCCTTTCAGCTTACAAGGTTGTTGCACAAATAAACGTCTTATAGGATTAGCTTCGATTGAAAATAAAAAAAACTGTACAAATGATTCAGATAAAGTTAATGAGCAATCAAGATCATTAGAGAGTAAAGTATCAAGTACTCAAAAAGAAAAAATTTGGAATTTTCTAGAAAACGAGGATTCATCAACGATTGCAATGGTAATTTTATTCATTTTAATCTATTTATTTTTCTAAACATAAATATAAGTGTTGCTTTTCTTCTTCTCAAATATTAGGACTCTTAACAAATAAAAATTTGAAAAAGAACATCTCATCATTCAAAATTTATCTTTTAATCGTTTATTAATTTTATCTTTACAGGGTCGACAACACGGGGGGGGGGGGGGGGTCATGTGCCTTCCAAACTTTTTTCTAAAGAACTTTTTTTTTTGTGATTGTGCCCCTCCACTTTGAAACCCGTGTCGTCGGCCATACTTTATCTATTTTTTTAGTTTTATGTGAGTTATGCATCCTTTTTTTTAAAAGTTTTTTTTATTAATTTTGTTCCTTGTTAGGTATTCAGCAAACTTTCCTTAATAATGACTATTGTTTTTATCATCACTTTATGCTTAAGTACTTTCCCTGAATTGAATACAACATTGCCAAATGGAAAAAAAGAAGTCAGCTCCAAATTAAAAAACTTTGATGCAGCATGTTTTGTTTGGTTCACATGCGAATATATTGCACGATTTTTGTCCTGCCCAAATAAGTTACTTTTTATTAAATCATTCCTTAGCGCTATTGATCTTTTGGCCATTACGTCTACTTTCACAAACTTAATAGTTACAGCTTCTCTAGGCCGCAACTCCCTTTATAACGTGGCAGCGGCACGCTTTATCAAGGCTCTTCAAATACTGTGCATATTTCGTATATTTAAACTAGGTAGATATTTTCCTGGATTTCAAGTACTTGGTCACACCATCTTACAATGCGTTTCTGAATTAGTCCTTTTTTTAATGCTAGTAATTGTAGACATGGTATTTTTTTCTGCACTTGTATACCACGTAGAGGAACACGTTCAAGACACAAAGTTTACTAGTATCGTGGAAAGTTTTTGGTGGGCAATAGCCACAATTTCAACAGTTGGATACGGAGATATTTATCCAAGAACCACCGTAGGAAAACTACTAGGAGGCATGTGTTGTTTATCTGGAATGATGTTCATAACATTACCTATTCCAATCATTGCAAATAGCTTTTTTAATTCGTATAAACACCTCATAGAAAGTAGAAAACAAAACAAATCGAAATGAAAAACTTCATTAATAATGCATTAATGCAAGCATGATATTTTTCTTCAAATAAAAAACAAAGACAAATTATAGGCAAGTATAAGTTGCTTATGTATTTTTAATAAAAAATTTTATGATGTAATATTTATACCATATACTGCCATAAAAAATCTGGAAAATTTAAACATAATGTACAAAAAAAAAAGAAAGTTTTAAATACTGAGTTTTTATTATTACTGAGTTCTTATTATTATTCCTATTATTTATTACTATTATTCGTTATTTCAGGCGTATATACAAAAAAGCAAATAGTTTATTTTGGTTTATATAGATAAGTTATTTCGTTTTTAAAAGTAACTAATAGGGTAAAATAACTAAATTTCAGCCGCGTCATTACAATATTGTTTCTAAATACATGTTAACAAATATGCCTAAATTGTACATTCTGAAAAGATAATTTTTTCAGCATAATTATAGCAAACATAATTATAGCACATTATAGCACAGAGAACATAATTATAGCAATTGTTATAAATAAAATTGTTTTTTAACAAAAGTATATGAATTAAACCAAAATACACATAATGCAACCAAGGACATATTAATAGATGGACGTTTAACTCATTGATATCCGTGCTATCAGTTGTTATAACAATAGAAAAACATTAAGAAACATTTACGTCACGTGGAAATACGTTTATATGATAATGCATCACAACTGCCTCATTTATTCAATTATATATAAAAAAAACTTTTATATGTTAAATATTGTGATTAATATACTTTATAAGTTTGTTAAATAATATTCTATAAATTTAATTACCCATGTATAACTCCGGTATAAAAAAAGTTTTTAAACTACATGATTATTTTAAATTCTACTTGAATTCTATATGAATAAAATCTAATTGTAAGGTGTAGCAAATGATAACAATTTCTAGTTAAATCTATAAATGATCAATTATATAACCTATAACACGTCAAAAATTTGATTTACTTTACAATATTCATATTAGAATATCGCATATTTCATTTTTACAAAAAAAAATTTTATGACGTCAAAGTTTTCTTTATTATTAAACAAAGCAAGCATATCAATTAAAATATTTTGAGACATTCTTAATTGCATAAATTGCATCTATATTTCCCAAAAGTTAGTCTTTTATGGGTAATAAAATGTAACTGAAAGAAGTTAGCAAAGCAAAAATGTCGGTTAAATGTCGGTTTATTTTGTAAAAGTACTTTAAAAGATGACGTTATAATTACAACTTTAGTTATTTGCGATGCCTTTTATCTATAACAATTTGTCCATTTAATTATAAGTCCTTGATGCAACTAAAGCGAAGAACAAACGAACTCATTAAAAAAAAACCGATAGTTATAAATAAAATCGATTGGTTGTTAGTGGTATGACTTATTCAGTCAAAGGAACTTTATAGATCTCTCTACCACCCAGTAAATAAAATCTAGTACATGCAAAATAAACTATATTAAGAAAGTTACTATATAAGTTGAGACCAGTAAAACAACGCTCTCAAAATTGTTAGCTTTAAACACTAACAACTAGACGGTATTTTTTTCACAGTTAGTTGGTTCAGTGTTTTCGAAATATTCTCCTCCACCAAAGTTTTAAAAATTGCTTTTTGCTCTTTTATGTTCCATAATTTGAACGATTCTTTTAAAACTATTTGTTTGCAGCGTCTGCTTGCTGCTCTTTTATAGGTTGTGAACATTTTACCCCTTCTATCTTGCACTGGAAGTAGTTTAAGCCAAAGCTTGTTTCGAACCTGGATCTTCTGCTTATAAAGCAAACGCTCCAACCACTGCGCCACGGCCGCATAAGAGTTTAACATCTAACATTTTAGATGTAAAACTCTTGTTAGATGTAAAAAAAAATTTATTGTGTTGCCAGAAACTGCTTCAACATCAGTGAATAGCAAGTTTGATTTTTTAACAACCGGACGAATCGATTTACTTTGTTTCAAAAAAGAATAGTTGAAATATCCTCTATTTTAAAAAAACAAATGCAAGTGGATTTTACTATATATTCAAATCCAAAAATAGTTTTAAAACTACTCTTCCAACAGCGTCTAGGTTCCTATGAAAACTGGTATTATATTTGCATAGCTCAAAACCATATATAAGCTTTGGAACTGGTAATGAGTTATATAAATGAACTACTGTTGATGGCTGGCAAAAATATTTCACTTATTAGTATTTAATTTATGCAAACAAATAAGTTTATGTTAACAAATAAATTTGACAAAATATTATAAAAACCGAAGCGCCTCTGTTATAACAGTTTTGCAGAAGTTATAATAATTATATAAAGATATTTTGGAGTGTATTTTTGACATTATTTTAATCTACATACAGTTTAATACATTTGCGTTGGTATATTTATGAATAATATGATATTTTTAAAATCAGCTGAAACAAATTGTGTAACATAAATGTCATTTTGTCTCTTGATTCTTATTTATCAGAAAAACGTCATATTGCAGTGCTAAACAACAAAAAGTATTTTGTCTTGAGTATTTTGTACATTACTGAAGCAATAATTTGTATCGACTATTCATAGATATTATTGTTTTTGAAACAATAAGTTAAAAGTATTTATTTTTAACTTTTGTCACTTAAAAATTGTTATAAAAATTAAAGAAACCAATTGTCTATTATTTTTATGAAAGAAACATTTACTTATGGAGGTACAATAAATTTATGTCTATATAATATAAGACTTTATTAACAATATTTTAATGCTTAAGTTATGATTTCATTATTCATTAATTATAACATATAGTTTTGTTTATATAATATAGCATTTTCTTTCATAAAGTTATGCGCTAAACTTAAAAAAAAGGACAACATAAAAAGCACAATTTTTCCCCTTTTATGTATTATTTATGTAGATTATTTATGTAAAACGACATTTGTAGAAACATTTATACTACTATAACTTATCTGAATATAACATGGCATTATTTAACTCATGTGTGGTATTGAAAATAATAACTTCAACTGCTATAAATTGATATTTTGATGAATATTTTTCCCAAAATCAAAGTCTTATCATAAAAATAATTAACACCAAGACGTGCTTTTATGAAAAAATCAAATTCATAGACTCCTCTATAGCCAAGCCAACGGTACTTTATGTAAAAAATTGAATCTTCTCTAAATAAATCTAAGCTTGACGATTTGTTATATTCGCATTACTTTTACCATATTAATATAGTGTATAAAAAAATCTTTCTAAATATATATATACTTTTTGATGAAAATATAATACATTGCTATTGAAAAAAAGTTTTATTGTCTGTAAAAACGTGCACTACACCTTAGTTTCATTGAGTGTTTTTATTGATGATCCTTATTTGGGTTCGTCCAAAAATTATGTAACGAATTTTTGTCCGTTTTTTACCCCTCCCCCTCATCACAAAATAGTAACTTTTTAGTTAAAAGTCTTGTACGAATTGCTACAAAACCACTTACTCCTTCCCCCATCCTCCTAAAGCGTTACATAATTTATGGACAATCCTTTTATTGCTAAGCTAGTTGAAAAATAATTGCGCAATTTATTTTATATAATTATACGTGATGAAATATAACATAACATACTAAAGATTAATAACATCATTAAAATTAAAAAGTTATTTTAAAAAATAAAAATAGCATCAAAAGAAAATTTATGTAGCGATGATAATTTTGATAATTTTATTAGGGAAAATATGTGTACCTGGGGCCTCCTTGAACCTTAGGGTCACACTACTTTATCTAAAAACTATAAAGTTCTAAGTTCTGCTTCTCAGTCAGGTGATTAGTTATAAAAGAATTTTTTTTAAATCCTATTTTGATTCTCAGAGAGTTTCACCATTTTTAGACAAGTCTGGGGCCTTGAGTTTAGGCATTGGAAAAATCCGGTCCGAGAGACACGAACTTCTCCTATTACCAGGGAAGAGTGGGGTATTGGCGAATACCTAAGCGGGAATGCGAATTGAAGACATCAGTTATACAAAATTGATCATATTTATTGCTTATCAATTAGTTTAACTATTCAGTCACAAACCCTCAAAAGCAATTTTTATAAATCTTATTATAAAATAAAAATTTATGGCAAAAATAAAACCATTGGTGTTCGAAATTACCCTTACGTATGTGGGGTAATTCCGAACGCATTGGAGGGCAATCTCAAACACTGTCGTGTAATAACGAATAAAATGCTAATTGTAATAAATAAGTGCAAAAATTATACTTTGTAACAACAACACAAAAAAGGAGTAGTTTTATATCCATAGAAACAACAAAAATTCAGAACAACAGATTGTTACTCAAGAAAAAAGTTGCATAAAATTATCAGAAAAAGTTAAAATTAAATTATAGTGAATAACATCCACAGTTTTATTACACTACTGAACGTCTGGAACTGAGCATGGGATCCCCTTTCAGCAGGTAAAAAGAAATTGTCAAATTTATTTTTGTATAATGTTCTTTTGACCATGTTCGGGGTTACCCCGCAATCACCATTACCCCACTCTCCCCAACATTTATTATAAAAACGATATTTTAAGGAAAAGTCTTTTTGCATCAAGAGACTCTTTGACTCGTTCCTGAAATGTTCCAAAAAGAAAAGTCCAAAATTAGAAAACTGTTTCCATATAAAATGGTTCGTGATGATGGATTTGTTAACAATTTAGCCTCTTCATGTATAAAATAAAACCCATGTTTTATTTTATACATGAAGAGTATAAAATAAAATATGGTGTATATTAAGTTTACAGGCTTTAAGTTCTCTCAAAAATAGTTCACAATGAACTGTTCTGATTGCACGAAAAATGATCCTGTAGACATGTTTTTGCTTGCTTTAAAGTTTTTTAAATTTATCATAATTAGTACTGCCATTGAATAAACGAGAAATATACTTTTTCAAAGATGCAGTATTAAAAAATGGATTTTGTTCATTTCGTTTTATCTATATCAAATTTTCATCTATTATCACTTTTAGAAAATTAATGGTTGAT